ACATAAATTTTAATATTAAAATTTAATTCTCTACTGTAAAATGCATACTTGGCTTTAATATTATTGCAGCTGGAAGTTATACATTCCTGGCTGTTGGTATACAGTTTGTTTATCATAATATGATGTCAGGGTAGGCATCAATGTAGCGTAACTAAAAGCCTAGGACTTACATACAAGGCAATCCAAGTTGAGTTAAAAATGTCTTGATTATTATACACTATTATAGACTCTCACTACAAGGTTGGTCAAAGCGATCAACCTTGTAACCATTTCATACTCGTGTATTTTACAGTGTAACATCCCTATATTTTTGTTTGCATTCTTTTTTACACTGCTATCCCTACATCATTTTATATTTACAAAATGTTTTTATTGCTTGTAGATAATATTTTGTAAGAATGTCTTCAATTTGTCAGCTAGAAGACTTGTTATATGCTAAACTCTGATACTCTCAAAATTAACTAATATAGTATAACAACAAGTTAATATAAGAGAAATACAGGTGAAGTATTATGAGGATTATTTACTTAATATTTTTAGAGTTACTTTAAAGAAAAAATTTTTCAATTCTTACATATACTCAGAGATGGTTAATTAAGCTCCACAATACAGTTTTACTTGCACTAACAAAGATCGATGCATATCTACAGATGCTGTACCTATTTTTGTAAGCACACTAATAATCACACCAATGTTATGCTCTGCTTTAAATATATCACTTCATCAAGTACATATTTTGATCTCAGACACAACAAACACAATGACTTAGGAACCAAAGCAATAAACTTTTTCTAAGTTGAAAGATCATCATTAGGCCTATAGAGCAAAACTAGACCAAGTTAAAAATGTCCAAATTATAAAAACAATTCAAGTTAAAAGAATTTATGGGTTGACTTAAGTATTTTTTAATTAAATTAAAACTGAATGTTATATTCAAACATAACTGTGTCAACTAGATGAAGGACAAAAACAATCTTCTAAAATTTAAGATTTTTTCTAGTATCAGGCGAGATATTTTTTGTGCATAAAATTGTTAGTGGTTTAATTGATTGTCTGTAAATTTTAGATTTGATTATAATTTGTGTTTCAGTTGTTAAGACAATACAAGTTATAATGTTTGATATTTTGAACTACTGACCAGTGGGAATGCAGCCAGTCAGCAGTATCCCACCATTTGTAAAGGATTGACTGTCACTCCTATAATGCACCCATAGCTTAAATAGTGGAATATTTTGTGGTATCATACACATCTGAACCTATCTCACCAACTCCAAAATCCAGAGCTCTACCACTTTATTATAAATGTATATTAAATTTGACATCAAAATATATTTAATAAATCAATTTTTAATATTATGTTTCAATTTCTTAATTGCAAAGAATATTTACCCCTTAATCTTCACTTCTCTGTACCGCATGACATTTCATTGCTCAGAATTGCCATTTTAGATATTCTTACTACCCCTATATGACATCCTGAGTTTAAAATAAATTACATTTATAGTACAGAGATATAAATCAAACCCACATGCCAAGACCTTCTATCACATCCTGCATTTCAAAACATGTCAATAATTCTCTTGAAATTTGCTATTAGACTATTTATAACCAACGAAAAGAGAAGATTTCTTATAAAGTTACCTCATTCTCACTATAAATTTGGAACTATTTGGCCTACAGATTCCTTGTTGTTAAATGCTGAAGTCACTTCAATCAGGTAAAGAAATTATTTTAATCTATTTATAGCTTAGTTAGAAAGCCATTGAAACTATAACAGTTTTAAATCATTGTATTGTTTTGCTTGTTAATGTTCTGTGTTTTTAAGTGCATATCTGAAATAAATAAAAATTATTTTACATACTATTACCATTGTCACAAAAAATATGGTTACCTTAAGGGAAGAGAGCAAAAAACAAGAGGCCAGACACAAGTACTAGATTTCTTGTTTTTATGTATATTTTTATTTCTTGTTATAAAAGTAACTAAAATATGAACATTGTCAGCTTATTAAACTAAGTAAGAAAATATAAGTCAACAAAAATTGAATAAAATATTTCTCAGTGAGAAATGCACACAAGCTGTTTGTGCTTTACATAATTCAACACTTTGTTTACCATAACTCCAGCTATGTGCTGGTCAGGTGATTTATAGCATTATTACACAGGTTTAGTAGTTAGACATGGTTCAGAGAGCAATAAGTCAATAACATTAAATTAAAACAGATGTAAACAGTAGGAGGCTACTGCTGTTTAGGATAAACGATTGTAATTTTCTGTTACAATATGCAGTCATTCTATAAAGAAAAAAGGTTAATTTAAATTTATTTTGTACTTTTTTTTGTATAGTTACAAGATTAGCCAAATGAACCAAGTCATTTTTGTGTTAGGGTAGAGTAAAATAACAGATAAGGCACAAAGTTTTATTTTAAAAAAAACCTTTGATATTTATTTAGGAGGTTCTAAAGGTAAATGAAACTTAAAACTAAGGTGAAAAAAAGTATTTTTATTTGTTTATTTTATAAGCAAGTTAATAATTACATGAATCACATACCTTTGTTTCATCACTATCTTGACCTTTGACTTTAATTAAACGAGATGTGTCAGGCCAGTCAAAAAATTTCTCACGAAAGAGTACAGGTTCCATGTGTTGACTGATTTTTGTAAAGAGTGCCCAGCTTGGTCTCTGATTTCCTTTCATCAACACTTTTTCATCTGTACCAAAAACAAAAAAAGGAAAGATTGTATTAAAGAGGACAGTAGTCAAGTAGACCCAAGTGTGGTGAATGATAGATGGAGAAGGATCAAAAGGCATCCTGACCCAATATGAAGGGATTAAAAGGAGATTAAGAAGAAATAATCAATGTATATATATATATATATAAAAGCCAAGTGTCAGTTGGTTAGTTAGTCAGTCACACTCAGTGTCTCCAAGTTTCGTGAGTTAGAAGAGTCTAATTCCACTTTTTATCCTATAATACTTCCTCTTTTGATTGTCAGTTTAAATATTTGTTGAATTTAATTGCTAACATAGGCATAAATATCTCATAAATTTCAGCACTTTTTCTGCTATGTAAAAGCCTGTCAAGGAGGGAGTTCCCAGGATCAGATCAGGTATGGCATTATGTGTGTGAAACCACATCATTATAATGTCAAGCTAGGTAGGATCTGAATAAGAAAGCCGGGATGACTACAGTGTAAAATCAATCAAAAATTAGCATTAATCTATGACTAGGAATTATTACGATTGTTAAAATAGACTGAAGATACCAATTATCTGTGAGGAATAGGACAACTTTTCCTCAGAAGAACAGGTGTGTATGCAATTACATGGTAATAATCTTTTATCCAAAGGTAACAATATATATAGCATGTTTGCTCAGTCATATGTAGTGGATTCAGGAACAATATGTAGCTTGTTCCTAGAAAAGGAAATTTTATGTTTCTTAAATTTATTTCTTTTGTATTGCAAATTCTATACAGAATAGTTTTGGTTTCCAGTGGTTCCCTGTCATTTTTGACAAGCTTTTACACTAGTATATGTACAGTAAATTAACTCTATGGGTTCAGTTGATTTGACCTAAATTTTAACCTTAAATTGACCTTTAGAGTTTTCATACTGTAACTTTTAATGTGATTTGTGTATCTTCATGAAATTTTGCAAGCTATCAGTAATCACTGAGAGTCTTTTGTAGACAAAAAAAAAATGTGCACAGTGATTTTCATGTTAAGAATAAAAATACTTTGCTTCATATGAAAACTTTCAAAATTCATTTGCATAAGCTCTAAAACTTCTTAAATAAATTTCCAACAATGTTTTCAGTAAAACTTTATAATTTATATATTTTCTCTACCCTAAATCTATACAACGTTGGCCAATTTAACTGACCTCATAACCACCACAAGAAAATATGAAATTAACCTATATTACCTCTTTTTTTTTCTTTCTGGAATGACTTCAAATTGTAACACGAAACTACATATGTTTATCCTAAATAGCTTAAAACTCAAAACAGTATACATCTGTTTGACTTAAATTTTATTGTTTTACTGCCTTTTGAATCATGACTAACTAATCTTCCCACCACACGGTTTAAAGCTCTTAGCAAACATTTAGCTCACATTGCCCTATTGAATTACATAACACACAGGCTACTTGGGAGTTGCTTCCGAGTGTACCTTGTGAAAAATTATTTTTCTTTATCTTAACTAACATAACTTTATCTAACCTAAAATGTTTCTAATTTTTACATTTTAGTTACTTTTATAATAATAAATAAATAAAGAACACACATGAAAAACAAGAAATATAGTACTTACCTGGGTCTTTTTTTATGTCAACTGTTGAGGACACTTAACCCTATTTTTATTTATACTAATGGTACAACTGCACTAAATAATTTTTATTTAATTAAATAGTGCATCAAAGAACACAGAACAATAAGAAACAAAAGGGAGACAATGTCCTATAACTATCACAATTTTTCTGGCTTTCTAACTATGTGACAAGAACCATTAAAAATTCAGCAAGTCTCATCAATGTGTTTCCCGTGGGAATAAAGTTTGAATTGGAAGTGAAATAGACAATTCTATGTCACTTCTTATTGGTTATAAATAATATAGTATTAAACATAAGAGAGAACTATTAGCAATTTTTGAAAGAGAGGATGTGACAGATGGGCATGGCAAGAGGGATCTGATTTTCTATTTTATTGCTCTGTAACCAAATAAGATTGAAAACAATACAAATTATGTGTTGCCTGAGTAATGACAACATTATAATCAATGTTAAATTTCGTATTTCTCAGGGGGTGGTAAATAAATATAAGAGGGAATAGCTAGAGAGCAAAGGTCAATTCTCAAACCAGAGGAAATTGAGGATTTCTTTAATATTGGCTTATAAAACTTATATAAAATAAAAATTTGGATTATTATGTACATTTTAAACTATTTTTATTTGTATACCATTATACGAAAGTAGTTTAATTAAATTTTGAATGTAACTCAGTAAAATCTTGTGACATGCATAGAAAAGGATGCTGATAGTGAAAGGGTTAAATACTGTAGGTTACAAGTACAATAACAAAAGACTTTTAAACAATTCTAATTGAGCATATTTATTATTTCTTGTCACATTTAAAACTACAGTAGAAACACTAAGGATGCCATTGCATTTTGCAATGTTAGAACTTCACTCAAAGAAGTGAAACATGGAGACTGAATAATACACAAACATCTGGCTCTTGAAAAGATGCTTTGGCTAATTAAAATACCATGCTTTGAGCTATACTAAACTGGTTTGTAAAACTCAGAATATGAGAAACTTATTAAATGTTTACAACACTAAACTAGCTCATCTTTATTCACTTTAACTTACTCTTCAAAAGCATGTTATTTTGTTATGACATTTTAATTATATCACTCGCTTCTACTTGGCTTTACAAAAGCACATGATCTGGTTACAGGATTTTAATTTTCTCAAACCACTTAGTGTTATTCACTCTGCAAAAGTACATGATCTCATTATAAAATTTTACTTTCTAATTATCACTCTATTTTGGTCACTTTACAAAAGCAGCTGATCTGGTTACAATATTTTACTTTCTCATCAGTTTTATTCACTCTACCACCCTAATGTGGTTAGAAAATTTTACTTGCTCAACACAACTAAATTTTACTCTACAAGAGTACATGATCTGAGGAGAAGTGAATCATCCAAGTTTACATACACCTGAAATTTGATAATCAGAAACTAAGAAGTTATCACAGATTATTTAATGCTAAAACTGACTGTAGCTATACTTAACAAAAGTAATGCTTTAAGCTAGCCTTCTAAAACAATTAGAGATAGCAAAAATAACTTATATCAAAGTCCAAAGAAAATGCAGAACAAAAAAAAAAAACAGTGCTGCAATAAATGTTTCACTCCTTGCATTTTTTATGGATTAAAAGACAATGAAATATTTCAATATAAAAATGAACAAAATTCCTATTTTACTTACTGAAGTTCATTCATAATAACTTTCTACTATTTAAAACATAAAAAAATATCATATAGTTGTTAAACCTAACACTAGTGAAATGAAATGCAAGCTTTTTCTCCTTTTCTGTTGAATGAAGAATACACCTTAACACAATAGTTTACAGTGTAATTATGTAATAAGGTTTAAAGCTTAATAACAGCTTATTCTGAAATTTCCCTCCCAAACTTCAGTTGCTTATGAAATAAATTAAATAGCTACAAGCAGATTGGGCAAATCTAGGCTTGTGACTTTAGAGCTGGGCAATTAACTCGACTAATTCATTAACTATGACAATCAATTATATTCATTAGTGTCATGTAAAATATTCAATTATGAAATAAATTAAATAGCTATGAGCAGATTGGGCAAATCTAGGCCTGTGACTTTAGAGCTGGGCAATTAACTTGACTAATTCATTAACTATGACAATCAATTACATTCATTAGTGTCATGTGAAATATTCAATTAATTGAAATTACAATTAAATCAATTAATCTTAAAAAAGTAATCCACTAGTTTCCAATTATTACTGTTTTTGATAATTACAACCACCTAGTAATCAAAACTTTGATTAACATTCTCAATATGGGATCAATTTGACTGACCACATGACCTTTTTGTACTTGTTTAAAGTCTATAGATTTAATACTTACAACTGTCAATACAGTGGGTATATCTTCATGAAATTTGGCAGTCTTTCAGTTAATATTACAAGTCTGTCACATACAAAAAGTCATATTTCTTAGATAAGTATTTTTAATAAAATAAAATAAAGATTTTTCCATGAATATATTGAGTATTTGTTTTGAATAGTCAGTGTGCAAAGTAATTTTCATGTTAACATTAAAAATACTTTTCCTCATCTCAAATTTCCGTTTGTGTAACCCCTAAAACCTCCTAAATGCATTTCAAACTTTTTTTTCAGTAAAACTTTATAATTTATCTGTTATTTTCTCTACCCTATCTCAAAATGAGATCGGTCAATTCGACGACCTCATAACCACCAAAAAAAATAAACCTAAATTAACCATTTTTTCTTTCTAGAATGACTTCAAATTGTAACATGAAACTACATTTGTTTATCCTATGTATTTCTAAGTTTGTAACATTATACTACTATTTATAATTAAATTTTATTGTCTTATTGCCCTTTAAACCATATCTAACTACTATACGCGCCATTATAAGTTGTAAATCTCTCGGGGAACGTGCAGCTCATGTTACTCTATCGAATTACATTAACCATGAGCTACTTGCATGCGTGTCTCGTGAACCATTTTAATTATATTATTATTACTTATTTTACCTAATCTAGTCTTAAATAATTTAAAAAGATCCATAGTTTTAGATTTTAGTTACTTTTACAATAATGAATAAAGAAAAAATATGAAAAACAAGAAATAAAGTACTTACCTAATTTTTTTTTTTTTGCTGTCGGATTTCAGAGAGTTAAGCCTAATCTTTTATAGTAATGATA